ATCATCATCATCATCATCCGCATCATCCGCATCATCATCATCATCATCATCATCATCATCATCATCATCATCATCATCATCATCATCATCCGCATCATCATCATCACCACCATCATCGCCGTCATAGTCGTCAGCAGCAGCAGCAGCATGCATCATCGCCACCAGCGTCATCCTTATCATCATCAACATCAGCAGCAGCATCGTCATTACTGTCAGCATCACCATCACCATCAGCATCATCATCACCGTCACCATCATACTCACCATCGCCATCCTAATCAGCATCACCATCAACATCCCCATCACCATCACCACTATCATCACTATCATGAACATCGTCACCAGCATCACGATCATCATCAGTATCATCACCATCATCAGCTTCGTAACCCTCCTCGTCGTCATCGTCATCGTCATCATCTTCATCATCATCAAAAGAACCATCATGAGCAGCATCATCATCATAATCAGCAGCATCATCGTCAACATCATTATCATCAGCATCCTGACCATCGTCTTCATCATCAGCATACGCATCACCATCACCATCATCACCACCACCATCATCATCATCATCATCACCATCATCATCACCATCACCACAACAATCATCACCACCATCATCAGCAGCATCATCATGCTCGTCCTCGTCCTCATCCTCATCCGCTTCATCATCGTCATCCTCATCATCGTCATCACCATGATACTCACCATCACCATTACAATCATCATTATCATCATCATCATCATCATCATCATCGCCATCAACACTATCATCATCGTCATCATCATCACACTCATCACCTGCATCACCATCAGCATCATCTTCGTCGTCATCGTCATCGTAATCGTCATGATCGTCACCATCACCACCATCATCATCATCATCACCATCAGCATCACCGGCATCACAATCATCATCAGCATCAGCATAAGTGTCATCATCATCATGACCATCAGCATCACCATACTCATCATCAGCATCACCATCATCCTCACCGTCATCATCAGCTTTGTCATCCTACTCGTCGTCATCGTCATCGTCATCATCGTCATCATCACCATCACCATCACCATCACCATCATCGGAAGTAGCATCAGCATCATTCGCATAATCATCACATCCTCATCATCAGCATCACAATCATCATCACCAGGCTACCATCACCACCATCATCACCACCACCATCATCATCATCATCATCACCATCAGCATCGCCACAACCATCATCATCATCACCACCGTCACCGTCATCATCAGCACCATCATTAGAATCACCATCATCATCCACATCCTCATCCTCATCCTCATCATCAGCATCACCTTCATCACCCTCACTCCAATCATCCTCATCATCCTCAGCCTTATCGTCATCATCACAAACAGCATCATCGTCCTCAGTGTCATCATCACAACCATCACCATCATTATAATCAGCATCACCAGCATAAGTATCCTCATTGTCATCATGTTTACCGTCAGCATCATCTTCACCATCATCAGATTCACCATCATCATCATCATCATCATCATCATCATCATCATCATCACAATCATCATCAGCATCGTAATCATCCACGTCGCCATCTTCATCATCGTCATCATCATCATCATCATCATCAGCATCATCATTATCAGCATCATCACCATCATCATCATGCAGAGCAGTATCATCAGCATCATTCCCACCAGCGACATCATCATCGTCATCATCATCAGCATACTCGTCATCATCACCAGCATCATCATCACCATCATCATCACCACCACCACCATCATCATCACCATCATCGTCACCACCACCGCCACCACCCTTCATCATCATCACCATCATCATCCTCATCCTAATTCGCATCGTCATCCTCATCGTCATCATCATCATCCTCATCATCAGCATAATCATCATCATCATCGTCCGCAGCGTAATGATCAACATGCTCACCCTCATCCTCGTCATCATCCTCATCGGCATGGTCATCACCATCATCATCAGCAGCATCGTCATCATCGTCAGCATCATAATCATTATTATCAGCATCATCGTCAACATGCTCCTCCTGATACGCATCCTCGTCCTCATCGGCATCGTCATCATCATTATCATCCTCATCATCATCATCATCATCAGCAGCATCGTCATCGTTGTCAGTATCATCATCATCGACACCATACTCACCATCACCAGCACCTCTGTCAACATCATCATTCTTACCTTGATCATCATCAGCATCGCCATCATCAGCATCCTCATCATCATCCTCATCCTCATCCTCATCCGCATCGTCATCATTATGATCATCATGATCATCATCATATTCGTCATCATCATACTCACCATCACCATGATCAGCATCAGCATCATCCGCATTGTCATGATCATCCTCATCCGCATCGTCATGATCATCGTCCTCATCCTCATTCTGATCCTCCTCAGCATCGTCATCATCATACTCACCATCACCATCACCATCCTCTTCATAATCATCATCACAATAACCCTCGTACTCATCTTCAGCCTCATCATCCTCATCCTCATCCTCGTCGCCATCATCAGCATCATCACCATCCGATTCACCATCACCATCCTCATCATCATCATCATCATCATCATCATTCAACTAGCATCACCATCGCCATCCTCAGATTCGTCATACTCCTCTTCCTCATCCTCATCTTCATCATCATGTTCACTATCACCTTCATCATCATCAGCATCATTATCATCATCCCCATCATCAACCTCATCCTCATCGTCATCGTCGTCATCACAACCAGCATCATCATCATCATCAGCATCATCACCGTTCTGCCCATCACCATCACCATCACCATCATCACTGTCATCTACATCAGCAGTATTAACATCATCATCAACATCCTCATCATCCTCCGACTCCCCGTCATCATTATCATCAGTATCATCATCATCGTTTTCATCATCATCATCATCATCATCATCATCATCATCATCATCATCATCATCATCGTCCTCATCATCATCAGCAGCAGCATCATCAACATCAGTATCAGCACCACCATCATCATCATCATCATCATCATCATCATCATCATCATCATCATCATCATCATCATCATCATCATCATCTTCATCTTCCTCATCCTGTCTGACCCTCTGCTCCGTTCGTTCCCCAATCTCTCGTCCTTCTCCGCCTCCATCTCCCTGCTCGGGCGGCTGGAGGGCTGGCAAAAAGCGTCTTGCCGTCTGACCTTTTCTCTGCGCGACGAGCGCAGGGGTAGCATACAGCATGCGCGCTCGCAGGCACACAGCCTGGCACAATAGTGCCCCAGCGCGCGTGGCCCAGCGCACCGTTGCGCACAGGCGATGATGATGATGATGATGATGATGATGATGATGATGATGATGATGGTGGTGATGATGATGATGATGATGATGATGATGATGCTGAGGTTGATGTTGATGATGATGCTGACGATGATGCTGACGATCGTGATGCTGCTGGTGGTGCTGATGAGGATGATGGTGATGGTGATGATGATGATGATGCTGCTGGTGATGATGATGATGGTGATGGTGATGGTGATGGTGATGGTGATGGTGATGGTGATGGTGATGGTGATGGTGATGGTGATGGTGATGGTGATGGTGATGGTGATGGTAATGGTAATGGTAATGGTAATGATGATGATGATGATGATGATGATGATGATGATGATGATGATGATGATGATGATGATGATGATGATGATGATGATGATGATGATGAGTATGATGATGCCTCTGCCCCATCGTGCACGCTCCAGCGCACAGCTGATCATGCTGTTAACCAGTGTGTGCTGCAAGACGCGCGGGCGCGCGCGGGTACAGCGCTTCGCGTGCGCTGGCACCGCCGGGCACAAACAATGCCCCAGCGCGCGTCGCACACCGCATGAGAGTGCCAAGGCATAGCACACAGTGCGTAGAAAGCTGCACTTGGGCATAAACAATGCCCTGGGCAACGGCACCGTCGCGTACTAACAATGCGCTGGCGTGCTCCCCAACAGCGAGTCCCGAGTGATAGAACAGCTGCCGCTGACGGGCCAAACGTGCGCCTTTCTCTGTCCGAAGCTGAAGCGGCAGAGGGCGCGCTGGTTGCCGCGTGGCCGCGTGCCTGGGCCGAAAAACACAGCGAAAGGCGCAAACGCAATCTTGCAGCCAAGGGCACGGCAAAGAGTGTCAGCGCGCTACACACTCCGTGCATCGTGCGACCGAGCACCAGTGCGCACAGCATGCACCAAAGCGTGGGACAACAGGTTTTGTTGTCAAGTGAGCGGCGCCGCTATGCCCCGATTGCCTGTCAATCGCTATCAACATTGCTACCTTATTGAGTGGATGAGTGGAGCCGCGTGCCTGCGGTAGCGCTGGCAAGCGGTCGTAGCCAAGGCCCCCTCATGGCGCGGCACGCAGGTGGGGCCACTGCCAAGTTCCTCGGGGAAGAGTCTATGACAAGGTGTCCGGGCAGTGCGGGGCGCGACAGCAATAGGTGCTGGCGTCATGCCTGAACGCCTCACCCTGGAAGAGTGTCGGTGTAGATGGTAGAGCAGTAGCCGTCGAAGTCCGCCTCGAGGAAAAAACATAATAGGAAGAAAAATACGGCAGCTCGAAGTTGCCGATGGTGCCGATGAGACAAAGAAGCCAGTGAGCCATGGGGGTGGCGTAGCCGTCGTACTGGCTGCAATTGGATGTGGTGACTGCAGCACTCGCCGGATGCGTCTGGCTGGCTGCAGTCCACAAACAAGACAACAACATGCATCGGCGAGATCGAGTTGGTGATGAGGTGCTCCCCATGGCGCCAGGGCGGCGTGCCTCCTCAGAGAGTCTCGATGGCGATGCGTGCAAAGTGGCCGCGATGGCGTGCCTCCTCCTCGGGCCTGCACACGGACGAGCGCCACCTTCACGTGGTGGTGTTGAGGCTCTTGGCTGGGGCCAAATGCTAAGCGTGCAAGAGGGAGGCCAGCACTACTGCGCACATGCCAGACCCAAGCACTGACCCAATCGTGCGATGTAGCACAGAAGTCGGCACCCCGCTGCCAATGCAGGGAAATCGTGGGTGTGGTGAGGGCGCCGAGGCATTACTGCCTCCTTGGGTCGACTTACCCCTGCACTGGACCATCTCTCCTCCAAAAGGACGATGCACTCTCAGGATCATTTGCGGTCGTCGGCGGGGCGAATTCCCATGAGGGTTGCAGGGCAGCCATGAGCACAAGCTGTTCGGGGAATGGAGAATGGACAATGAAGAGGTGGGGGAAGTGCGAATGTGGGTCCACACCGTACTCTGCACAGTCCGCGGATCGCGGAATATTATCGCTCCGAGCTACGCTACAAACTAGAATTGTGGATGTTAGGGGCGAGCGGTAGAAACCATGGCGGCAATGGTAGCATGAGAGATAACCCAACAACGGATCTTTCCCTTCAGTACATGGTATATCGCGTGCACGCTTGAGCCAGAATGGTTGTGTACGCCCATTCGTGCTCTTATGCAAGTGTGGCGGAGGAGGAGGGAGGAGGAAGAGGAAGGAGCGAGGAGGAGGGAGGAGGAAGGAGGACGGCGGGAGGAGGAGGAAGAGGAGGAAGAGGAGGAGGAGGAGGAGGAGGAGGAGGAGGAGGAGGGAGGAGCGAGGAGGAGTAGGGAGGAGGAGGAGGGAGGAGGGAGCATGGAGGAGGAGGGGGTGGAGGAGGGCGAGGGCAAGGGCGAGGCCTTGGCCCTGCGCGGCGTGAGGATCTCCCTCGCCGCGACGACGGCGGAGCGATCCCTGGCGCTGAGAGGGCCGCCGGAGACGCTGCACTGGTCGGGACCCGCGAGGCGTCCTCGGGCGGCACCTGGGCATCCCCCCACTCCTTCCCTCCCTCCTCGTGCTCCCTCCCTTCCTCCCCCCCTCCCTCCCTCCTGGAGTTCCCTCCATCCCTCCCTCCCTCCTCAGCTCCGCTCGGCGGCCCTCAGGGAGCGGAGGGAGAGGGGAGGCATGGAGGAGTGTCCCCCCCTTTCCTGGACCTGCCCTCCGCCCCCAGATCGGGGATGGACAGAACCCCGTTTAGTAAAACGTGGTTTAGCGAAAACGACGGCGAGAGCCCCCGACATCATGACCGTCGTCGACCCCCAGAGGCCTCGACCCACTCCGCTGAGGCGCTTCTCGACGGCCCCGAAGCGCAGGAAGGGCCCCCAGAGGCCGAGAATAGCAGAAAGCCTTCCGCCAGGACTGCTTCAGGGCGCGAGGGGGCCCGCGGTCTCCTCTGGCCCCCACGCCTCGCCATCGCTCGGACGTCCCTTCCCTGTGAATATGTCGGATCCGTGCGTGCATGTGTTTCCCAAGGCAAGCAAACATGCTCCTCGATAGTCCTGGCCGGGAGAGAGAGAGAGAGAGAGAGAGAGAACAAAACAACTATATCTATAATGTATACGATATATAAATATATATATAGAGAGAGAGAGAGATTAAGAAGACAAAAATCCAAGCGATGCCAAGACACCTGCGGCTGGGGCCCCACCCCCACTCCCCGCCTGGGGCCGCGGCGGCGCCGGTGGCGGCGTTTTCGCCGCCCGTGGCGCGGTCGAGGGCGAGGCCCTGGGCCTTCAGCTCCTGCGGCGAGGCGCCAGGGGGGGGGGGAGTTCTTCGAGCGAGAGACGACAACCGGGGGGGGCCGTACAGTCAACCCGGTATAGCAAGGATGCGCGATAAGGATGCAAGGGTCTTGGGCGCCCATTTCGAAGCTTTCCGAGCGGGCCGCGGCCAACGAAAGCGGCCAAGGCTGGGCCGAGAAGGCAAGGATACAAGGGTACGCTTGGGAAGGTTGCCCATCCTTACAACGCGGGTTGACTGTAGGACCCTTCGTCTGTGCGATGACAGCCAGCGCTTTTTTCTTCTACAAGCACTGATGGTCCCTGGTGGAACCAGATTGCGCTCGCATTGCTGTCGATTGCACTCCCACTGGTAGAGAAGGAAGGGGGGGAAGGGTGGTGAGGTCCTATTGCTTTCTTATTGCAACCCTATTGCGCTTGCATTAGAAAGGAGAGGGAGAGAGGAGAAGGGAGGATGGAGAAGGGAGAGGGGGCGCGGAAGATTATCAGGAAAACCAGAAAAAAACAAATCAAGAAAAACGAATCTGCTTTCACGTGAAAAATCATAAGTGAACCCTGTAAATGTCGCTATTATGTTAGGTTTTTCTAGTGTGCCCATGTGAAAACACAAGCACCTGTTCTATGTTTCCTGCTGCTTCATGTTTTCCTCATAAACTTCCGCTGCCCCTCACCCCTCCTCCGCCCTCCCTTCTACTCATTTCTTCCTCCTCCAATGCAATAGCAAGAAGATTGCAAGAAGAAACGAGATGACCACCTCACTCCATTCCCCCTCCTCTTCCAAGAGGAGTGCGATGGGAATGCAATCGGAATTCCTACCGCTAGGGAAGGGAGGGGGGAGGGCGGTGAGGAAATCCGATTGCTTCTTGTTGCAATCCTATTGCGTTTGCATTAGAAAGGAAAGGGAGGAGGAGGGAGGGTGGAGGAGGGAGGGGGGGCGCGGAAACTTACCAGGAAAAAAGAAAAACATGAAAAACATGCGAAACCGTTTATGTTCACAAAGAAAAGCAAGACAACTAAGAACGAAGTCTGTTACTCATGTTGTCCTGGTAAACTTCCGGTGCCCCGTCCCCCTCATCCGCCCTCCCTCCGCATCCTTCCTTCCTCCTCCAATGCAATAGCAAAAACTGCACGCAGAAACAAGATAACCACTTCACTCCATACCCCTCCTCTTCCACTAAGATCGCAATGGGGATGCAATCGGGTTTCCTATCGGGGCACGGATGGCTTTCGCCGGGGTTGGCTTTCGCCGGGCTTCGTTTCGCCGGGCTTCGTTTCGCCGGGCTTCGTTTCGCCGGGGTTGGCTTTCGCCGGGGTTGGCTTTCGCCGGGGTTGGCTTTCGCCGGGGGTTGGCTTTCGCCGGGGCTGGCTTTCGCCGGGTTGGCTTTCGCCGGGTTGACTTTCGCCGGGGTTGACTTTCGCCGGGGTTGGCTTTCGCCGGGTTGACTTTCGCTGGGGTTGGCTTTCGCCGGGTTTGCTTTCGCCGGGGTTTGCTTTCGCCAGGGTTGGCTTTCGCCGGGGTTGGCTTTCGCCGGGGCCGGGCGGGGAGCAGGCGGGGCAGGCTCAGGGGCAAAAGCAGGCGCCGCCGTCGCTGGCGTGGCGGGGCGGGTCGCGCCGGGTCGGGCGGACCCTAGCGGGCGGGTCGGGTCGGGCGGGCGGGACACTAAAGTGTGGGGCGCGCTCGAGTGAGCACGCGTGAACCCTAACGGGCGGGACGGGTCGGGTCGGGCGGACCCTAACGGGCGGGACGGGTTCGGGTCGGGCGGACCCTAACGGGCGGGTCGGGTCGGGCAGGCGGGACACTAAAGTGTGGAGGCGCGCTCGAGTGAGCACGCGTGAACCCTGACGGGCGGGTCGGGTGGGGCAGGCGGACCCTGGCGGGCGAAGCGGGTCGGGTCGGGTCGGGCAGACCCTAACGGGCGGGTCGGGTCGGGCGGGCGGGACACTAAAGTGTGGGGCGCGCTGTGACGGGCGGGTCGGGTCGGGCGGACCCTAACGGGCGGGTTGGGTCGGGCGGCCGGGGCACTGAGGTGTAGTGAGCACGCGTGAACCCTGACATACCCTGACGGGCGGGTCGGGTCGGGTCGGGCGGACCCTGGCGGGCGAAGCGGGTCGGGTCGGGTCGGGCAGACCCTAACGGGCGGGTCGGGTCGGGCGGGCGGGACACTAAAGTGTGGGGCGCGCTCGAGTGAGCACGCATGAACCCTAACGGGCGGGTCGGGTCGGGCGGACCCTAACGGGCGGGTGGGTCGGGCGGCCGGGGCACTGAGGTGCAGTGAGCACGCGTGAACCCTGACATACCCTGACGGGCGGGTCAGGTCGGGTCGGGCGGACCCTGGCGGGCGAAGCGGGTCGGGTCGGGTCGGGCGACCCTAAGCGGGTCGGGTCGCGGGTAGCGGAGCACGCGTGCCCTAACGGGCGGTCGGGTCGGTCGGGCGGACCCTGACGGGCGGGTTCGGGTCGGGCGGACCCTAACGGGCGGATCGGGTCGGGAGGGCGGGGCACTGAGGTGTGGGGCGCGCTCGAGTGAGCACGCGTGAACCCTGACGGGCGGGTCGGGTCGGGTCGGGCGGACCCTAACGGGCGGGGCGGGTTCGGGCCGGGCGGACCCTAACGGGCAGGTCGGGTCGGGCAGGCGGGACACTAAAGTGTGGAGGCGCGCTCGAGTGAGCACGCGTGAACCCTGACGGGCGGGCCGGGTGGGGCAGGCGGACCCTGGCGGGCGAAGCGGGTCGGGTCGGGTCGGGCGGACCCTAACGGGCGGGTCGGGTGAAGCGGGCGGGACACTAAAGTGTCGGGCGGGTCGGGTCGGGCGGGCGGGACGCTGAGGTGTGGGGCGCGCTCGAGTGAGCACGCGTGAACCCTAACGGGCGGGTCGGGTCGGGTCGGGCGGACCCTAACGGGCGGGGCGGGTCGGGTCGGGTCGGGATCGGTAAGAGGAGCAGCAGCAGCAGCATGAAAGAACAGGAGAGGGAAGAGGAGAAGAGGAAGAGGAGGGCGAAGCTGAACCCAGGCGAAAACGAGCCCAGGCGAAAGCCAACCTGGGCGAAAGCCAACCGGGCGAAAGCCAACCCGGGCGAAAGCCAACCGGGCGAAAGCCAACCCGGGCGAAAGCCAACCGGGCGAAAGCCAATTGGGCGAAAGCCAACCTGGGCGAAAGCCACCCCGGGCGAAAGCCAACCGGGCGAAAGCCAACCCGGGCGAAAGCCAATCCGGGCGAAAGCCAACCCGGGCGAAAGCCAACCCGGGCGAAAGCCAACCGGGCGAAAGCAAACCCGGGCGAAACAAACCGGGCGAAACGCACCGGGCGAAAACCAACCCGGGCGAAAAACATCTACGCCTCCTAGGCACGGATGGCTTTCGCCGGGGTTGGCTTTCGCCGGGCTTCGTTTCGCCGGGCTTCGTTTCGCCGGGCTTCGTTTCGCCGGGGTTGGCTTTCGCCGGGGTTGGCTTTCGCCGGGGTTGGCTTTCGCCGGGGGTTGGCTTTCGCCGGGGCTGGCTTTCGCCGGGTTGGCTTTCGCCGGGTTGACTTTCGCCGGGGTTGACTTTCGCCGGGGTTGGCTTTCGCCGGGTTGGCTTTCGCCGGGGTTGGCTTTCGCCGGGTTGGCTTTCGCCGGGGTTGGCTTTCGCCGGGTTTGCTTTCGCCGGGGTTTGCTTTCGCCGGGGTTGGCTTTCGCCGGGGTTGGCTTTCGCCGGGGCCGGGCGGGGAGCAGGCGGGGCAGGCTCAGGGGCAAAAGCAGGCGCCGCCGTCGCTGGCGTGGCGGGGCGGGTCGCGCCGGGTCGGGCGGACCCTAACGGGCGGATCGGGTCGGGCGGGCGGGAGACTAAAGTGTGGGGCGCGCTCGAGTGAGCACGCGTGAACCCTGGAGTCGGGTCGGACCCTAACGGGCGGGACGGGTCGGGTCCTAACGGGCGGGTCGGGTCGGGCAGGCGGGACACTAAATGTGGAGGCGCGCTCGAGTGAGCGTGAACCCTGACGGGCGGTGGGGCGGGACAGGCGGGCGGACCCTAACGGGCGGGTCGGGTCGGGCGGGCGGGACACTAAAGTGTGGGGCGCGCTCGAGTGAGCACGCGTGAACCCTAACGGGCGGGTCGGGTCGGGTCGGGCGGACCCTAACGGGCGGGGCGGGTTCGGGTCGGGCGGACCCTAACGGGCGGGTCGGGTCGGGCGGCGGGCACTGAGGTGTAGTGAGCACGCGTGAACCCTGACATACCCTGACGGGCGGGTCGGGTCGGGTCGGGCGGACCCTGGCGGGCGAAGCGGGTCGGGTCGGGTCGGGCAGACCCTAACGGGCGGGTCGGGTCGGGCGGGCGGGACACTAAAGTGTGGGGCGCGCTCGAGTGAGCACGCATGAACCCTAACGGGCGGGTCGGGTCGGGCGGACCCTAACGGGCGGGTTGGGTCGGGCGGCCGGGGCACTGAGGTGCAGTGAGCACGCGTGAACCCTGACATACCCTGACGGGCGGGTCAGGTCGGGTCGGGCGGACCCTGGCGGGCGAAGCGGGTCGGGTCGGGTCGGGCAGACCCTAATGGGCGGGTCGGGTCGGGCGGGCGGGACACTAAAGTGTGGGGCGCGCTCGAGTGAGCACGCGTGAGCCCTAACGGGCGGGTCGGGTCGGGCCGGGCGGACCCTGACGGGCGGGGCGGGTTCGGGTCGGGCGGACCCTAACGGGCGGATCGGGTCGGGAGGGCGGGGCACTGAGGTGTGGGGCGCGCTCGAGTGAGCACGCGTGAACTCTGACGGGTGGGTCGGGTCGGGTCGGGCGGACCCTGGCGGGCGGGGCGGGTTCGGGCCGGGCGGACCCTAACGGGCAGGTCGGGTCGGGCAGGCGGGACACTAAAGTGTGGAGGCGCGCTCGAGTGAGCACGCGTGAACCCTGACGGGCGGGCCGGGTGGGGCAGGCGGACCCTGGCGGGCGAAGCGGGTCGGGTCGGGTCGGGCGGACCCTAACGGGCGGGTCGGGTGAAGCGGGCGGGACACTAAAGTGTCGGGCGGGTCGGGTCGGGCGGGCGGGACGCTGAGGTGTGGGGCGCGCTCGAGTGAGCACGCGTGAACCCTAACGGGCGGGTCGGGTCGGGTCGGGTCGGGTCGGGTCGGGTCGGGATCGGTAAGAGGAGCAGCAGCAGCAGCATGAAAGAACAGGAGAGGGAAGAGGAGAAGAGGAAGAGGAGGGCGAAGCTGAACCCAGGCGAAAACGAGCCCGGGCGAAAGCCAACCTGGGCGAAAGCCAACCGGGCGAAAGCCAACCCGGGCGAAAGCCAACCGGGCGAAAGCCAACCCGGGCGAAAGCCAACCGGGCGAAAGCCAATTGGGCGAAAGCCAACCTGGGCGAAAGCCACCCCGGGCGAAAGCCAACCGGGCGAAAGCCAACCCAGGCGAAAGCCAATCCGGGCGAAAGCCAACCCGGGCGAAAGCCAACCCGGTAGGTAAGGAAGTGGGGAGGGCGGTGTGGAAGTCCTACTGCGTTCTTATTGCAATCCTGTGGCGCTTGCATTAGAAAGAAAGGACGAGGGAGGAGGGACGAGGGGGGACGCGAATGCTTACCAGGAGAAGAAAACAGGACAAACACGCAAAACTCCGTTGTTTTCACAAAACTCCGTTGTTTTCACACGAACCCTGTGACTGTCGTTCTTGTTTTAGTTGCCCATTGTTTCCATATGAAAACAAGAATGGTGTTCCTGACGTTTTTGCTTTTTCCTGTGTTCCTGGAAAGCTTCCGCTGCCCCTCCCGCCTCCAATGAAATTATACTAGGATTGCAAGAACAAACAAGATGACCATTTCACTCCATCCCCCTCCTCTTCCAGTAGGAATGCGATAGGACTACAATCGGGATTCCTATCGGTAGGTAAGGAAGTGGGGGGGGGGCGGTGAGGAAGTCCTACTGCTTGCTTATTGCAATCCGATTGCGCTTGTAGTAGGAAGGAAAAGAAAGAAGGAGGAGGGACAGTGGAGGAGGGAAGGGGGGGAGCGGAAGCTTACCGGGAAAATTTGGGGAAAAAAAGAACACCTTGAGAAACCTTTTGTTTCCACTGAGAAAAAACGTAACGAACCCTGTGACCGTCACTTTGTTTTTTTAGGTGTTCCAGCTTTCCCTGTGAAAACATGAGCATGTTCCTGTTTGTCCTGTGTTTGCTCCTGTCTTCCAGGTAAGCTTCAGCTGCCCTGCCCCTCCCCCCTCCTCCGCCCTCCCTTCTCATCCTTCCTCCCTCCTCCAATGCGATTACAATAGGATTGCAAGCAGAAACAAAATGACACCCTCACTCAAACCCCTGCTCTTCCAATAGGAATGCGACAGGAATGCAATCGGGATTCCTCCGCCCCTCCGCCCCTTCCTCATCGGGATTCCTCCGCCCCTCCCTTCTTCATGCAATCGGGATTCCCGTATGAGAAGGACCTTCTCATACGGGAATTCAACAGGAATGCGATCGGAATGCAAAGGGAATCTCTCCCTCTCCACTCCTCCTCCACTAAAAGGAATACAATCTGAAAGCAATGCGAAAACAATGATAATATTTTGGGGATTTCTCCATCTCCCTCCTCCCCCTCCTGCAATAAGAATAATAACAATAATACGAGCAATCATGATAATACAAATAATCATAATAAGAAGAAGAAGAAGAATACGAATAGTAATAATAATATGAATAATCCTAATGAAATCGACGTGGCACTCGATGATGGATATGCACAAGATATCAGCAGGAAATCCATTTAAAAAACCTTGCTGCAATCATAGAGACAAAGGGTCGCACGGGGGGAGGGGGGGGGCGTCAAGGGTGGGGGGGGACATCGACCTGGAATCGGCGACACATCGCCCCTGACAGCCAAACCGAATGCTCCCGGGGTGGGGCTGTCAGATCAGGCCCCTATCGGCGATGAATGGGCGATTGCGGGTCGACGCATCCCCCCTGAGCCTGTTCCCCGCCGTCTGCTCAAGGGCTCCCAACTTCGCGCTTCGCGCTGCGCGAAGCGCGAAGTACGAATAACTTCGCGCTCTCGCGCCGCCTCCCAGGGGAGAAGAGGAGGATGAGGAGGAACGGAGCCGACTCGCGAAGCGCGAATAACTTCGCGCCCTCGAGGGCGCCCTTGTCTGCTGCACCCCGGTTTTTGGGCCATGGGTCGGCTCTCCGGCAGCCCTTCGGGGCGACCCAGGCACCCAACGGAACGCCCTCGGCGAGGCGCAGCTGCTGGAAGGCGTCCCGAGGCCGGAAAGCCGCCCCGAGAACGCCCGAAAGCCTCAAACGTCAAGACCCCGTCCCCCCTCTCGGCCGCTCCCCCCCTTCCCCCTCATCCTTCCCTGATCGAGTGGGGGAGAGGGAGGAGGAGGAGGAGGAAGAGGAGGAAAAGGGAGGAGGAGGAAAAGGGAGGAGGAGAGGGAGGAGGAGGAAGAAAGGGGAGGGAGGAGGAGGAGGAGGAGGAAAAGGGAGGAGGAGGAGGAAGCAGGCATCGCGCCGGCGCCCCGAGCGCGGGCTTCCCGAGGGCGCGGGAGCGGCGGCGAGGGGCGCGGGTGCGCGGGCGGCTCTTCGCGGGCGGCTGGTGCACCGCGCAGGGCACGGGAGGAGACGGCGCGAGAGCTCCGCAGAGGGGCGCCGCCCCCGCTGGCGAGCGGGATCGGCGGGCAGGATAGGGAGCACACAAAGGACGTACGCGCCCAGCTATGTACATGAACACGGCCCCTTGACCCGCGAGACCTGCCGCGCGATACGAACATTCGCGCAATGCGAACTCCCGAAACCAGCGTGGATTCATGTACATGTACGTCCTTCTTTCGCTCCTGACAGGAGCAGAACTGGCCCTGGGCTGGGCTAGGGCTGCCAAAACCGTGGCTGCTCGAACGGCCCTCCCGGAAGGAAAAAAAAAAAAAAAAAAAACGTCCCGGAATGAGGCACGGCACGCGAAACAATCAACGGGCTCATTCCCGGAAGGACGAAGACAACTTCCCGGAGGTCGACTTTAGCAGCCACGGATTTAGCAGCCCTTGCCCGGCTTCCGAATCTCTTCTATTCCCTTCTGGACGGATCCTGGACTCTCCAGTTGCTCACCGCCTCGCCGTCCTCGACAACCTGGCAGGGGCGGCCAGACTGGGCACAGGGAGAAGGACGAGAACGACAACGAAAACGAGGACGAGAACGAAAACGAGGACGAGGACGAGGACAAGGACGAGGACGACGACGACGACAACGACGATGCACTGTGGTTGAATTTAGGGCGATGCGACCGCAGGCGGCCGTCGTCGTCGTCGTCGTCGCTGTCGTCTTCGTCGTCGTCATCGTCGCCGTCGTCGTCGTCGCCGCCGCCGTTTCCGAGGGCCTCGAAGGGCCTCCAGACAACTCCAGAGACCTTTAGAGGCGGCCGCTGTCGTTGTCGTCGTCGTCGTCGTCGTCGTCGTCGTCGTCGTCGTCGTCGTCGTCGTCGTCGTCGTCGTCGTCGTCGTCGTCGTCGTGTGTCGTCCTCGTCCTCGTCTCGTGGTCGTCCTCGCCCTCGTCCTCGTCTCGTCGTCGTCGTCGCTTCCAAAGACCTCGAAGACGCCTCCAAAGCAGAGCAATGCAGAGCAATGCAAATCAATACAAAGCACTGTAAAGCACTGCAACGCAACGCAACGCAACGCAACGCAATGCAATGCAATGCACTGCACTGCACTGCAATGCAATGCAAAGCAACGACAAGCGGCGACGGCGGCGGGCGGCGACGGGCTGCGACGAGGCGACCGGGGCGGCGCCCAGGCCCAATCACTAGCGGCAACGGCGGCGGTGACGGGTGGCGACGAGGCGGCCGGTAGCGGACCCAGGCTCAGTTACCAGCGGCGACGGCGGCGGCGACGGGCGACGACGGGCGGCAGCGAGGCGGCCAGGGCGGCACTCAGACTCGATTACCTTAGAAAGCAAGTAAGATACCATACAGTGCGGGCGAGGACGCAAGAAACCATCGCAAGAAACCCAACCCTGAAAACCCGCGCACGAGGTGCACCTGAGGGGAAGCCCGGAGCACCCTGAACGCAGAAGCTCCTTCAGCGGCCGCGGGAAGTCACCGCGCAGCGCGAAGAGCGAAGAAACCCAGGATGCCCTGACGAAAATCAGATGGTTTCTTGATGCGCGCCCCCACTGTAAGTGCAAGCACTGTCTGGGGAACCACCGTTGAACAAAAACCATTGCCACTTTCACACTCGCGTGTCATCCACGCGTGCCACTGACCGGAACACACATGCGGGGCGCCTCTTTCCCTGGCCCCACCACGAAGGACGTGTCCTTTGATAGAGGAAAAGGAACTGTGCACACACGCCGATTCTCGCCAGGCCCAGCCTGAGCCCAGGATCGGTGCATACGCCCTCCTACCTTGGCCAGGAGGGCATGTGCACCGATCCTGGGTCAAGGATGGGCCTTGCCAGGATCGGTGCATGTGCACAGCTCTCTCCGCCCGATCTTGCCCTGGCCCGAGACCACGACGGAAGTGTCCTTTGGGGGAAGGACCCCTGGGCCCTGGGCCCTCACCCGAGACCAACTCCTCGCTCCGAGCCTGCGGTAGACGGCCCCGAGTCACGGGCCCCAGACGCCCAGGACGACGAGAAGCCTCCAGGCTTGAGTCGGGCGTGTCCCCCTACAGGGGGATTTTCGACGAACCAAAAAAAAGATTCAAGAAATGCTCCAAAATGGCAAAAAAATGCTCAAAAATACTCTCCAAACTATTTTCTGGCTATGTTTGAACTCCCCCCCTGTAGAGGGACAGGCCCGACTTAACTCCAGGCCCCGTCTCCCTCGTGACCGACTTGCCTCGCGGGCGATCGCTGGGGGTCCACGCAACGGGGCGGTGACTGACCGCGCGGTGGCCTCGAAGTCCCCACAGACTGCACCGCAGGGCCCGCTGCCGCACGGTCTGGGGACGTGGGAGGCCCCAGCCGCGGGGGTCGCGCGCGTTCGCCTCCTCTGGCGGGGCGTCGCAGCGGCTCGCGGAAAGCACGCGCGACGCTTCGCGCGAAACGCGACACCACGTCAACAAACTGCCAGACAGCATTTTTGGAGACTACCCGCGGCGAAGTACATGTTGCCAGTGACGACATGGAGATTCGCAGCCGCATCGCGTCGTTCGCGACGCGAGCTCGGAAGCTGCGCCGCTTTTGACCTAACAGCGAAGACTGATAGGTTTCTGGTAGGGTCAAAAGAGAGCATCTTGACGCCCCAGGGGGGTCTGGGCGCGATCCGGGGAGGATGCCGGGCTTTTATTTTCTAGCCAACAGTAACGCACTTCGTGGTCTTCGAGTTCCCAGAACTCCATTCCTGGGCATGATTTTGAATGCCCGGAGCCAACTGTAGGCCACTTCGTGTTCTTCGAGATCCCAGAACTCCACTCCTGGGCATGATTTTGAATGCCCGGAGCCAACTGTAGGCCACTTCGTGGTCTTCGAGATCCCAGAACTCCATTCCTGGGCATGATTTTGAATGCCCGGAGCCAGCTGTAGGCCACTTCGTGGTCTTCGGGCATGATTTTGAATGCCCGGAGCCAACTGTAGGCCACTTCGCGTTCTTCGAGTTCCCAGAACTCCATTCCCGGGCAACATTTTGAATGCTGAGGCAGGCTGATGCTGAGGCTGAGGCAGGCTCAGGCTGAGGCCGAGGCTGAAGGCAGACTGAGGCTGAGGCTGAAGCAGGCCGAGGCTGAGGCTGAGGCAGGCTGATGCTGAGGCTGAAGCAGGCTGAGGCTGAGGCAGGCTGAGGCTGAGGCTCAGGCTGATGCAGGCTGAGGCTGAGGCAGGCTGAGGCTGAGGCTCAGGCTGAAGGCAGACTGAGGCTGAGGCAGAGGCAGGCTCAGGCTGAGGCCGAGGCTGAAGGCAGACTGAGGCTGAGGCTGAGGCAGGCTGATGCTGAGGCAGGCTGAGGCTGAGGCTGAGCTGAGGCTGAGGCAGGCTGAGGCTGAGGCCGAGGCTGAAGGCAGACTGAGGCTGAGGCTGAAGCAGGCTGAGGCTGAGGCTGAGGCTGAGCTGAGGCTGAGGCTGAGGCTGAGGCAGGCTGATGCTGAGGCAGGCTGAGGCTGAGGCTGAGGCTGATGCAGGCTGAGGCTGAGGCAGGCTGAGGCTGAGGCCGAGGCTGAAGGCAGACTGAGGCTGAGGCTGAAGCAGGCTGAGGCTGAGGCTGAGGCAGGCTGAGGCTGAGGCTGAGGCAGGCTGATGCTGAGGCAGGCTGAGGCTGAGGCTGATGAGGCTGAGGCAGGCTGAGGCTGAGGCCGAGGCTGAAGGCAGACTGAGGCTGAGGCTGAGCAGGCTGAGGCTGAGGCTGAGGCTGAGGCAGGCTGAGGCTGAGGCTGAGGCAGGCTGGCTGAGGCTGAGGCTGAGGCTGGCTGAGGCTGAGGCTGAGGCTGATGCAGGCTGAGGCTGAGGCAGGCTGAGGCTGAGGCCGAGGCTGAAGGCAGACTGAGGCTGAGGCTGAAGCAGGCTGAGGCTGAGGCTGAGGCAGGCTGAGGCTGAGGCTGAGGCAGGCTGATGCTGAGGCAGGCTGAGGCTGAGGCTGAGGCTGATGCAGGCTGAGGCTGAGGCAGGCTGAGGCTGAGGCCGAGGCTGAAGGCAGACTGAGGCTGAGGCTGAAGCAGGCTGAGGCTGAGGCTGAGGCTGAGGCTGAGGCTGAGGCTGAGGCAGGCTGATGCTGAGGCAGGCTGAGGCTGAGGCTGAGGCTGATGCAGGCTGAGGCTGAGGCAGGCTGAGGCTGAGGCCGAGGCTGAAGGCAGACTGAGGCTGAGGCTGAAGCAGGCTGAGGCTGAGGCTGAGGCAGGCTGAGGCTGAGGCTGAGGCAGGCTGATGCTGAGGCAGGCTGAGGCTGAGGCTGAGGCTGATGCAGGCTGAGGCTGAGGCAGGCTGAGGCTGAGGCCGAGGCTGAAGGCAGACTGAGGCTGAGGCTGAAGCAGGCTGAGGCTGAGGCTGAGGCAGGCTGAGGCTGAGGCAGGCTGAGGCTGAGGCTGAGGCAGGCTGAGGCTGAGGCTGTGACTGCGACTGCCGTTGCCACTGCGACTGTCATCGCGAATGCGACTACGACTGCGAGAACAGCAGAATTCTACAACTGGATTCTCATCTGAATCTTAAGGGGAATGCTTCCAAATATGCTCCTACACATCGCTGTTAGGTTGCTTTGCCGGGATAATTGTTACCCCCTGAATTGCCCCAAAACGCCTGGCATCCTCCACCCGCGTTCCACCCACACACACTCCCGCCGTGGGTTTCCCGACTTCCATCCCCCAAACCGCGGGCGTGGACCCCCCGGTCCCGGCCTAACTGCCCGCCGCACAAGCCCCCACTGCGACATCGCGTAGTCTGTTATCATGCGCGGTGTTTCCACGCGGGGCCTCTGGAAATGCTGGCTGGGGCTGACTTCGCGCAATCTGGGGGGCATCGCTGCGATGTTGCAGCGCGTCGTCGCGTCCGCGATGTCGCGCGTGCTCGCGCGTTGGCGTGCGTCGTTCGAGGCGATGCCTCAGAATGCACCAGGAGGACCCACGAAGACACAGGGGGCCCCAGGGAGCCCCAGAAGGGACCCAGGAGGCCTCAAGAGGGGCCTCAGGAGGCCCCGGGAGGCCCCAGGAGGCTCCAGGTCCCACGAGGCCACAGGAGCTCCCAGGAGGCCCAATGAACGCCCAGGAGGCCCCCAGGAGGCCCCAGGAGAGTGGCCCCGGAGAGTGGCCCCAGGAGAGTGGCCCACGGAGGCCCCAGGAGGCCTCAGGAGGCCCAGGCGGCCCCGGGAGACCCGAGGTAACACCCAGGAGAGACCAGGAGGACCCGGGAGGCCCGAGGCCCCAGGGGGCCAGGAGTTATCAGGAGCCCGCAGGATGATGTCCCCTACTGGAGGAAGGGAGGGAGGGAGGGAGGGAGGGGAGGAGGGGAGGGAAGGAGGAGGAGGAGGAGGAGGAGGAGGAGGAGGAGGAGGAGGAGAAGAAGAAGAAGAAGAAGAAGACGAAGATGAAGATGACGAAGCCGCCTGCATCAGCCACGTGCAGGTCATCATCCACTCGTCCAGGCTGATGGCGCCGCTGCAGTCGCGATCGAGCGCGCGCCAGACCCGCGGGAGCTCGTGGCGCTGCAGGCCGAACCGCTTGTGCATGATGCTCCAGGCCGCGGGGTCTCCCCAGAGCGCCCGCTCGAACTCCGACCTCTGGGCCGGGCAAAAGGGAGGGGATAGCAAGGGGGGGGGGGAGAACCAGCTCACGCGGCTGGTTTTCCCGGCGCCTCCCGGCGCCAGGAGGCGGCCATGCATCGAGGAATGGGCCCCCCGTTGGGGCTGAGACCAGCTGCATGCAGCAGATGTCGTAACCCCCCCTTTCCCTATCCCCTATCCCCCCCTTTCGTTCGGCCCGAGACCTCTCGATCTGCCCACTGCCGTCCCTGTCGATCTTCAGGAAGATCTGCTCGATGAATCCGCCGGGCCCCCCTCGTCGGGGCCACCGGGCTCGGCAGCGGGGCAGGGCAGGCTCGGCCAGCACCGAATCGAGAAATCGGCCCGAATCGGCATGTGCATCAGATTTGTGGATGCCATGACAATGGACACTCTAACAATCCTATCATTGAATTAAAGATGTGTTTAAAATGTGTAAACATGTTCTAAAAATGTTTCAAACATGTTTTGACAAAAAAAAGTTAAAAGCATTTTTGAAACATCTTCTAGACATCTAGAAACTATTAGGCAGCATGCTTCCTCTCCATTAATCGACTTCCACAACGGCAGATCGAACTTCGTCTGATGCACCAAAAAAGGACCCCTAACCTGTTGGGAGGGGACCTAAGTTAGAAGGGCCGAAAGCAGTCATTCTAGTGATCGGGAACCTTTTCTGCAGATGCATCAGACCAAACCGCCCAGACTGACTATCCCTAATTCGAAGACGGGGACCTTCGGCGGTGGACAAACCTCCCTTTAGGAAACCTCCCCTTAGTGAAAGCGGCCTGGGACCGAAACCGACGGACCTGGACCCGCCAAAATGACGGCCGCGACGCCCTCTCGCGAACCGAAAACGGCCAATCCCTGAATCGACGTGTCAGGGTAGGAGGTCCCTCCACCTCCGAATCGTGTCATCAGGGTCAAGGGATACTTTGCTCTCGATGCTCCTCAGCACACGGAAAATCGAGACCGCACCGGTTCGGCTGCGCCAGGAGGCACGACGGCGCCACACGAGCACCGCCGCGCCGCACCGCATCGCATCGGCACCTCGGGGATCGAGCCGGGCCGGGCCTGGCCGGAGTCGGCCTCGGACCGGGCCGATCGGAGCGAAGTGGGCCCTGGAGATAGGTCGGGCCTGTCCCCTACAGGGGGATTTTGGACGCAAAACTCGAAATAGTCAAAAAAGTATTCCAAACATGGCCAAACAAATACTCACAGAATCGTCCCCAGACTATTCTTTAAACTATGTTTTGAATTTCCCCCCCTGTAGAGGGACAGGCCCGAGATAACCCTGGAGGGGGGGCCCTCGGGGGGGCCCTCTCGGGGCGTGGGGCCGCCGCGCTCGTGGAGAAGGGCCTCCCCTTGGAGGGCCGCCCCTGGCAGGCAGGAGCTCCCACGACAGGCCGGGGGGCTGAGTCGGGCCCGTCCCTCTGCAGGAGGCATACTCAAAAGTAGTCCAAAAATAGTCTGGGGACTATTTTTTATATTTCTTGCCATGTTGGGATATGTTCTGAATGTGTATTACATTTCGTCCAAAATCCCCCTGCAGGGGGACACGCCCGACTTAAGCGGGGGGGGGGGGGGGGGGCCTCCTCCGAGGTGTCCCGCGCCTCGGAGAGAAGCAAAGAACGCGCCCGACGGCGAAAGCGAGGCAGCCCGCTCGAGAGGCGCGCAGAAGTGCCCTTTCGGCGGGGTGGCTGCCTCCGGCGAGGCCATCGCCGCCCTGCCCCCCCGACCAGCACCCGCGCGACGCCGGCCCCGAACCGCGGGCATCGCGGCAGGAAGAGCCCCTACGATAGGGAGCCCACAAAGGACGTACGCGCCCAGCTATGTACATGAACACGACCCCTCGACCCGAGAGACGGGCCGCGTGATACGAACATTCGCGCAACGCGAACTCTCGAAACCAGCGTGGATTCATGTACGTGTACGTCCTACTTTCGCTCCTGATACGAGGGTAGGGCGCCTCCCCCCCTGCCGTTCGCCAGTTCTCCCCGATGTCTCCGGAAGCATGGGGAAGCCCGGCAGCCGCAGAAAGAGTGAGAACGTCCAGAAGCGCTCGCCTCTTTGGGGCCCCAGGAAGCCTCTGGAAGCCTCCATGGACCCAGAGGGGACCAAAACCGTCTAAGAAATCTAAGTATACTCGGCGCTCCTGCAAGCATGCGATGTTTTGGTTTTTAACGCGAAGTTCCTGGAAGTCCCGAGCCTTTCCCAAGGCCCGTTTCTCAGAGTGAATCGTTCTACGTCGGTCCCGATGCCCGGGAAGGGACCCCAGAGGCCAAAACCTGCCAAAAACATCCTGTCGTGATTTTGTTCACGGCGCGTGCGTGTCTGGGTCTCGACATGGCGCCAACCTGGTGAATCTCAGGTCACGGCCCTTGGCGTCGTAGGCGTCATGCACCGGGCGCTGGAACGGCCGCCCAGTGGGCGCCGGTGCCCGCGAGCGCTCCTGGAGCTGGCGCAGGTTCTGCCTGGTGGTGCTGGAGCAGCTCTGCACACCTATAGCACAGCGCCTCTTCTGCTGCTGCTTGCTGCCTCCTCATATTCCTTTTCATCAGGATCCTCCTCATCATGACATTTTTCCTCCTCCTCCTCCTCCTCCACCACCTCCTCCCCCTAATGATGACCCTCCCTAGCATCTTCATTATCCTCCTCTCGCCTCCTCCTGCTCCTCCGTCCATTCCCTCTTCTCATCCTGATGGTCCTCTTCACTCTCCTTATCCCCTAGCCTCGCTGAGGCCTCAAGGGCTTTTTCAATCTTGGCTGACCTATCTGGTCAGCTCTCAATGCTTCCAGAAATTCAACCCGCAAACACGTCTTACATGAAACATAAGCTCGAAACGCAGGTCAACACATGGTAAGCATCCACATCAAAGCACTAAACCTTCGCTTGCCTTCCAAACCCGAGCAATGCTGCGACGTCGGGTGCTCTCCCGCCCCCCCACACCACACCACACCACCCACGAGGGAACCCCCTCGGGTCATTCTGGTAGCCTCCAGGGGCCTCCAGAAAGTCCCACCAGCCCTTTGGGCGTCGGTAGTTTAGGGCGTTTCCTCTTCCCACCTCATTCTTCCCCTTCGGGGAGGGGTTTATCACTGTTCCCTATTAGTATACACCCCTTCCCCCAGGCGAGTGGGAGCCAACCAGGGTCAATGCGGGCCCCCCCTACCACCCCTAATAAAAAAAACAATCCAAAACACACTCTGCCTCCAAATTCGGAGCATGCGCAGCCAACCCGATGCGGCCTACCCCCACCATCCCTGTCAAAAAAAATACAGAGTACACTTGGCGGTGGACAGCGGCGGCGGCGGCTACGGCGGGGGCAGCCGCTGCGGCGGCTGCGGCGGTGGCGGCGGCGGTGGCGGCGGCGGCGGCGGGGGCGGCGGCGGCGGCGGCGGTGACGGCGGCGGCGGCGCGGCAGCGGTGGCGGCAGCGGCTGCGGCGGCGGCGATTCGGCAGCGGGGGCGACGGCGGCGGCGGTGGCGGCGGGCGGCGGGCGGCGCGGCGGCGGCGGGCGGCGCGGCGGCGCCGGCGGCGGACAGCGGCGGCGGCTGCGGCGGCGGCGCGGCGGCGGCGGCGAGCGGCGGCGGCGGATTCGCCCCCAGTAGCTGCCCATCCAAAGACGACTGCTGAATATGCTGCGGCTCGGGCCAGGCTCGGGTGCTACGTATGTGTTGGGAGGGCGGGTGGGAGTGAGCGAGACGGCTTGCAAGCGGGGAGGGAGTCTTGACCCCTCCCCCTACCCCCTCCGGCGAGGAAGCCAAAATCATTGATGTTACCCGGGTTTTGTACCCTCTTCGAAATGACCGAGCCCTCCTGGAGGTCCCCTGGCGCACCCTTAGGACCTGCAAGGACTCCGAGCGATCCTGGAGACTCACGGGACCTCCCGAAAGTCCACGCGCGATCCTGAGAGTACCTGCGCGTTCCTCCTCCTCCTCTTCTTCCGCCTCCTCCTCCTCCTCCTCCTGCTCCTCCTCCTCCTCCTCCTCCCCGTCCTCCTCCTGCTTTTCTTCCTCCTCCTCCTCCTCCTCCTCCTCCTCCTCCTCCTCCTCCTCCTCCTCCTCCTCCTCCTCCTCCTCCTCTCCTCCTCCTCCCTCCTCCTCCTCCTCCCTCCTCCTCCTCCTCCTCCTCCTCCTCCTCCTCCTCCTCCTCCTCCTCCTCCTCCTCCCTCCTCCTCCTCCACATCCTCGGCGGCGACGAAGGCGAGGGCGGCGGCGGCGGCGGCGGCCCGAGGCGGAGGCCGCTGGCAGCGCCGGCGCCGAGCATCGGCGGGCCGCCGGGCGCCCGAGGGGGCGCAGGCCGCGGCGCGAGCCGCACGCTGCCGCGGAGGGCGCGGCGGCGGGTGTGGGTCGAGGTTTGGTGTCCGTTTCATGGGAGCCTGCGTGGCCCCTGGCGCTCTCCGATTTGGGCCTGATTTGGACCACATTTGGACCAGAATTAGACGAGATTCGCCCCTTCACAAGGGAGACGACGAGAACGAGGCGGAGGAGGAGGAGGAGGAGGAGGAGAAACAGGGAGTACGAGGAGGAGCAGGAGGAACCAAATGCGGCCCCAGTGCGGTACAAATGCAGAAAAAGCTGATTTCAATGTCGCCGCCCAAGGCTCCCATGAACAGACATCGAATCGAGGGTCTTTGTTTTGGCTCCACGCCGCCACTCCAGATCCCAGCCGAGGCTGGGAAAGACTGGCATGCTACGGGGGGAGGAGCATCCGAGTGCAAAAGGCTCAGGCTACTACCTGCGCGAGGCTGCACGACGCGAGGGTCGGGCTTCGGGAAAGGCCACGCTTGCCTGGGGTCGTTCTTGCGAGTGGCCGGAGGGAGGACAAGGAGCGAGGCGGATCCGTGTGCTGCAGGTTCGTTGTCGTGTCGCAGGGCGGAACCCAAACGGTGCTTCTCGTTTTCGTTTTGGTTTCGCTTTCCCCTCGTTCCGTCTTCAATCCAACTCTGCCGCAAAACGAGGTCGAAACGGAAACAGCCCACGAAATCGCCAAAAACACCGTTTAGACAAAAATCATCAAAAAATAATCCAAAAATAGTCTGGGGACTATTTGTTTTAGTATGTGTGTTGCCTTTTTGGGGGTATTTTTGGGGCATTCCCCTGTAGGGGGACGCGCCCGACGTAAGTTTAGGCCCAGCCCTGTGCTGCAGGCTCGTGTCGCGCCGACGCGGCGACGACCTCAGCGCGGGCGCTCCAGGTCGAGGGTCAGAGTCGGGGTCCGTGGACCCTTGAGGCCCGGGACCCTTGAGGCTCCTCCTCCTTTCCTCTCTGGCGGG